TAGAAAGATAAATTATTGAAAGAAGTCTATCTATTAATTAAAAAAAAAAGACTTCTGTTATGTGCTCTGATATTCTGGCCATAGGGCAAGGCCTTGGTCCCTGCCATCAAGGGATACAGAGAATGTTTGGGGAGTGAAAATAACCAAATTATTGAAGGCAAAGCATGATGAATGCTATGATAGAGAGATAAACATAGTGCTATGGAAACACTAGAAATAGCTACTTGCTCTATCTCAGGACTTGGAAGAGACTTTGTAGAAAATGTGGCATTTTGAGCAGAGAAGAATATTCAAAGCATGGTCTGAAGAGAACCAGGCCTGTCCTGGGAATAATAAGAATGTCACAGTAGCTAGAGATGGAAAACATGGATAAAAGGAGGTGGGGACACATGTGGGGCTAGAAGGCCGGGCTAGATGTTTGCATGAGTGTCTGGGGCACCTGAGAGGCAGTAGGGATCCACATTACTCCACTCTCTACTCTGCTGCCAGAGCTGTCTTTTTACAAATGCAGGTTTTATGATGCTAGTCTTCTTGAAAGCCACAAAGCACTCTTAATCATCACAAAATATAATGAATTATAAGTTATGATAGGGTTTAGGATATACTATCCCCAAATATGGCACCTTGACATTTGAGAAAACAGAAGTAGAAAAGTCTCTGTGACATTCTCTGAACATTCTCCCCTGAAACATCCCGTGAAAGAATTTTCTGACCTTCATCTAAAGTAGGTTGTAAGACTCTCCTGGAAAGAAATGAATGAAGATACAGAAACACATCAAAGAATCTGAACAAACTGGTCTTGCTAAATTCCCCCATTTATTACCATTAGGTCATACCTACTTGTCTTCCAATGATACTTCTACATGACTGACCATAAAAACACACAGATTTCCCTGTGTCTTTGGGTCTTCATTTCTGAAATTTCCTGTGTTACATAAAACTTAACACCAGACAAATTCATATATTTTAAATCTGTCTTTTGATATAGGGACCTTGGCCATGAACCCACCTCCAAATGAGGAAAAGAATACTTTTCTCCCTAACACTGATGAGGTCTCCAGATAGACACCAACATGGAAGTGCCATTGGAAAGCACTAGTCCACATGGGCTATTATGGTGATCAGCCTCTAACATGGCCGTAATTCCATCTCCTGGTATCCGTGCCCTGATGCAATTCCCTCTCACACTGTATGAGAATAAATCTGTATGACCAATGGAGTACAGAAGTGAGGATATGGTACGTCATTTCCAAGGTTAAGTCATAAAATATTTTGTGGCTTCTGCCTTGCTTTCTCTACTGAATTATTTGCTCTGGAGGAAGCCAGTCACCATGCTGTAAGGACACTCAAGCGGCCTATGGATTGCCCCAAGTTACAAGAAAGTGAGGCCTCTTACCAACAGCCATGTGAAGAAGCCATCTTGGAAGTGGATTTTCCATACCCAGTCAGGCATGCAGCTGACGGCAACCTTAGCTTGGATCATATAAAATCAGAGTTAAAAAGGACTAGAGGCTGGACATGGTGGCTCATACCTGTAATCCCAGCACTTTGGGAGGCCAAGAGTTCAAGACCAGCCTGGGCAACACAGGGAGACCTCGTATCTAAAAAAAAAAACTAGAGATTAAGTAGGGCAGACACTGATAATTGGGTCCAACATTTCCCATAAAACTTAAGAGATTCGTGGAATCCTTCTTTACTTCTGTTGATCAGAATTGACAACTTTATTATTCCTGATACCAAGAGATGTGGTGCTCAGTTCAAGCTTGCATGTCTAGTTAGTGAAAACATACTCCATTTTCTGACTGTCAGTCCAGGGCTCTTGCCACTGTTGTGCTACCATCCATTCAGATGACTTACTTTAACCTCTTTAATTTATATGAGATACCCATCCACTTGCTGAAGATCGGTCTTTCAGCTTGTTAGGAATTATTTATTTAGAAAGAAGATCGTATACTGCTTAAGAGAATGGGAGACAGTTGGAATGCTAATTGTAGCAGGCCAAATAACAGCTCCCAAAGATGCCCAGTTCCTAATTCTGGGAACCTATGAACGCTGCCTTATGTGGTAAAAGGGATTTTGTGGATGTAATTAAGAATCTTGAGATGGGGAGATTATCTCAGATTGTCTAGGTAAGTCCTAAATGTAATCACAAATATCCTTATAAGAGGGAGGCAGAGGAATATTTGATAAAGAAGAAAAGGGGATGTGACTAAAGAACAGGCAGAGGAAAGAGGATGTGATCCCAGGCCATGAGCCGAGGAATGAGGACTGCATCCCTCTTGGCACAGGTAAGGAAACAGATTTTCCTCCAGAGCCACCAGAAAGAGCTCTGCTGGTTCTTTGATTTTAGCCCACTGTACCTGATTTTGGCCATCTGACCTCCAGAATTGTGAGAAAAAAAAAGCTGTGTTATATATTTATTTTGAGATGGGGGTCTCACTTTCTTGCTTAGGCTAGAGTGCAGTGGTGCAGTCATAGCTAATTGCAGCCTTGACCTCCTGGCCTAAGCAGCCCTCTTGCCTCAGCTTCCCGAGTAGCTGGTACTATAGGTGTGCCACCATGTGAGACTAATTCTTTTTTTATTTTTGTAGAGATGAGGTCTTCCTATGTTGCCCAGGGTGGTCTTGAGGCAAAAGAGCTCAAGCAAAAATGTGTGTCATTTTAAGTCACTGGTTTGTCATGTTTTTATAACTGCCATAGAAAACTAATTACATTAATCTTAGCTCCAACAGATCCTAGTTCTGTTAGTTTGTGCACAATAATCTTTCTAAGGCTGCATTTTCTCATCTGTAAAGTGGGAATAATAAAATGTCTATTTCATGGGGTTGTGGGAAGATTGAATAAGATCATTCATGCAAAATGTTCAGCTTAGGACTTGGCATATGGAAAGGTCCTCATTGGCTATGGATTTGGTCTAGACAAGAAGATTGCAACAGATTTTTCTTCTATTTGAAAACTCTGGTAGAGCACTAACTAGCTCTTGGAATTTAGAAAGGGTTGCATATTTATTAACTATTCTAGTTTTCTCACAGGAGCACTGACATCTATTTGTTTTTTCCTTTTTAACCGACCTTTCTCAAGGATGCTGACTGCAAGATGAGGGAAAGGCAAATAGGTGGAATAACTGGAGAATAACCCAGAATGAGACAAGGAAGGGGGATTTTGAAAGGATTTCTTTGCCTATTATCTACTTTCTGAGATAGCCACACAAAACAGGTGAAAAGTTATACTATTTATAAAGATCTCCTGAGAGGGATTGTCTATAGCTTTTCTGGTAATTTCCCTTGGTACCTCTGAAACCTGTTCATTTTCAAAGAAAACTGCACTGACGGCTACACATTCTTTTTTTTTTTTATATAAAAAATTGGAACGGCTTTGTTTTCGGAAGCTGTTTGTTACCCAATGTTGCTGAAAAGGTTGTATTACAATGAGGCTATGTGTTAGCTGGTCATATCTCTAGTGCAGCATAGCTATGTAAACTTTTTCTTTTTCTTATCTTGGGTTTCAGAATTCTCCATTTTTCAGAAGCATATGCTAATAATATTTACTGGTATTGTTTATCACTACCACTCAGTTTTCTGTGCTTGTATTTTCTATTTCCTGCTGATTTAGCCTCTGTACTCTGTTGTTTATAGGAACTTACCATATTTGCATAGTTTAAGTGCTCTGTTGCTTCTATCACAAGCCCTAGTGGGTAGGAACAACGTCTATGTAATTTATTCGTGTAGTGCTTGGTGGAACATCTCATGTTTCATGATTGCTTTATGATGATAGAGATGATACTACAAAGTAAAGCCAAAGGAAGCTTTTAACAATAGGGCCTTATGGTGTTTGGTCTTCATTGGATGTCTCTCCCCTCACAGAAGAAAGAACGGAGGAATAACGGCTATATCATCATGACAAACAAGTGTCAAAGTCAAGTTCAGTCGAAGGCCCAGACAACCCTTGTCCTGTAGTCAGGGATGACTTGTGAAAACAACTGAATATGGCTCATTGACTTGAGTTCTTGTGCCCGAACTGAAAAGGTTTGGTACCTGACACAGGAACAAAGTCTGTCTTAAATCAACTTTCTGGGATATCATTTTCTCTAGTGCAGAGATTTGATGGCTTATTTGGTAGTGGAGGCAGAAATTTCCTAAAGTGATCTTCCTTGGCCAACAGTGATTGACATCTGAGGTACAGCTTGCCTCTACTTTCGGGGCTCACTGCCTCACTGGGGCCATATCATAGTGGCAGTTTAACAGTAATCTTAGTAGGTCTTTTTGAACATTTTAAAGCCACTGCTCCGAAGCATAAGCCAGGCAAAAAATTGATTTCCCTCATCCACATGCCCCAAATGTCCAACATAGGTAAGACATTTTTTAAATAGGCATCTCCAGAAGGCAACTTTTGACCTCTTTCCAGATAAGAGGTTCAAGCCAGCCTTTTGCTATTGTGGGACATCAAAATTTACTATATGACCTGAAATCCTCCCAGGTGATTGAATTCATTCACAGGTCCTAGGAGAGAAGATGAAACTTTCATTTATCCCCACTCTACCCACCGATCAGTACTGTGCATAACCACTTCGCCAAACTTTTGTCAATTTTGTTGCATTTTATCTGTTTACATGAGATCCACAATGCTTTCTCATTCTCACAGTAAACATTGAATCCTGTTTATAACTGAAGGGCAGAATCAGCGGGGAGCATCCGCAAAGCGCTCCAGGCTCCTTTTTTCCCTTCCTCAGAGACACCAGGAATGTGCCTTTGCACTGTTTTGCCAGCATCCTTAAATCATGATTAATTTAAAGCCCTTTCTCTCTTTGGTGAAGCCTGACACAAGCAACCGCTTTTCTGTCACATTGATTTTTCTGTCCTTGCAGATTCAGAGCCAGGGTTGAGTCCTCCTCACAGGGTGAGTTCTCTGACAAGGAAGTTTTGCAACCTAATTTACAGCTGGAGCCAAGCTTGTCAGTGAGTGCCAGAGGGAAACTGTCGCAATTGGCTGGCTAAGTATGCATTTAATAGTGTTTATCCAAGCGAGTTTGTGATTTCTTCACTCTCTCCAACAAATATGTTATTTGTAATAGCTATCTTCTCTCATCTAGGTGTTTGAAAAATGTCTCTAACGTGTGTGGGCTGGAATGCATTTTGTTTTTCTGTAGGTATGTTCATTTAACAAGGGTCTCTGAAGAGCTATCAAAAACTGCTTGCCATCTTTTCAAATCATCTCTGTCTGCAGTGACCATGTCTTAATCCTGAAGGAAAACAAGGTAATCTTTTCAAATAAACATTTTCAAGGATGTTTAGAGGGAACCCAATTGCTAGCATGTAGAACCCCCTTCCAGTGCTTAAAAATAGGTATATTGAGAGAGTACAATGCCAGTGAGTTGGAATGTTTGTAAGCATTTGATATTTCCAGATGATTAACAATAATAAGCTAAATTGCAAGCAATGATCTGAATTTGTGTGTGTGTGAATATGAGTGTGTATGTGTCAAAGATCTACTGAGTATCTTGTTTCTCAATATTGTTGGTGGAAAATGAGGCGCAGAGGGGTTACAGACTCTCACTAGGTAAGTGAGCTAGTAAGGGACTTTGGCAATATTTGACCCTAAGCCCATTAAGTTTCACTGGGCTAACCTGACTCTAGGGAGAGTAAATATGAGATGAAGAAACATTTGATCGTTAAATAAAAAGGAAGGACTGAAACAAATGCAATTGGTTGTATGAATGTATTAATGCAATACTCCTAGTCTCAAGGAAGTTGACATGAAATAGGAAGAGAATATGTAGAGTATGGATTGAATAAACAAAATATTATGTGGATGATGTAATTACCGTAATTAAATCAAAACAGATTGTGTATGCCGGAACTTATCATATTACTCACAACATAATTTTACATAAATTTTTTTAAAACATGGCTCTTTCCCGTTCTGGTCTGTGGGTTTCTAAAGGGCAAACCTCTTTTTTCATTTGGGCCTGAAGCCCCAGGACTTACTGCTGGTCCTGGCACAAATGATGACAGAAATGATTGAGTGTGTGAATTTGGTACTGAGTTTGACATTATTGTCTCTCATTGTTTGTAGGCCTGGGATATTGTCTACTTAATTCACTTATCATTTGTTGTTTAAGGTGTCTGGATACTCAAAATACTGTTTTAATGTACCTCGCCTATACATGACATAAATACATTATTAACTTTAAAAAAAAAATTTTATCATCGTGCCATCCAACAGGAATATGATGTGAGCCATGTGTAATTAAAAATTTACTAATAGCCACATTAAAAAAGGAAAAATAAATGTGAAATTAATTTTTAATAATGTTTTATTTAGCTATATTCAAAGCATTATCATTTCAACATGCAAATATAAATTTATTAATATGATATATTACATTTTTTTCCTAGTAAGTTTTTAAAATCCATTAGGGTATTTTATATTTAATGCACATCTTAATTCAGACTTACATTCAGACTAAATTGTAGACTACTGCATTTCAGTGCTCAATGAGCACATGTGGCCATCATGTTAGCACATTTCAATAGTTTGCAGGTCAATGTAGGGGACATTCCCCCCCCTCCAATTAGCATTTATTCCCTGTTCCTATGCCCACTGAGCGTTCTGGTGTGGAAAAATCCCCATGACTGATAGTGCACACATAAACTGGGGTGACTAACGTCCTAGAGTCCCTGAAATTGAGAAGTTTTCTGGGATAAAGGACTTAACAATGTTAAAACCAGGACAGTTCTGAGAAAAGCAGAATGCTTGGTATCCCTAAAGTAACCTGTCACAGTGATTGGTTCAGGCCGAAAGCATATAAAACTGGCTGCGGATTATGGGATTTTTTTGGGAGTCACTTGGAGAAAGAACCTTACTTTCTGCTATGGTTATTATCAGCTAATCTTTATATCATGTGGGAGAACCTGGTTGAAAGTATTACTTACTTTGGAAGAAATCCCAGTGAAAGAGAAACTGAGTTTTAGTGACTTATTTTTTAGTTCTTGGACCCAGTTGTGTCTGAACCTATCCTGTTCTTGGACTTTTCAGCGAGTTAATACATTCTTTACACCTGTTTCCATATTGTTTGTTTAAACAGTTAAGGTTGCATTTCCAACATGTGAAATGAGGATAGTTCTAATGAATAGGTTTAGAAAAAAAAAGAGTACAAGAAATCTAGTTGGAATTTTCAGGCTCATAGGAAACACAATCAGGTTGTCTATTTTATTTTAACACACCCTCCTCGAGCTACTGTTGAGTGTGTGTGTGTCTGTGTGTCTGTGTGTGTGTCCTTTCTTTTGCTACATAGGAACAGCAAGTATATTTGTGGAGCAGGGAATTGACAGTGAAGTAGCTGCATACTGGCAATAACCTATGAATCTGGGCAGTTTGGAAAGTAGGAAGAAATGAAGATCTGCTGTCTTTCCTTTATTGTCCCTTCCTCTGTTGCTCTCAGACCATTGTGCTTTGCTTGTACTGTGGGTGTTTTGCTCCACCATAATGGCTCTGATGATGAGCTATAAACTTCATTCTGGTTCCTGGTACAATCTACAGTTTATGAGATTCTTACTTATGAGGTAGGGACCCCTGGAAGTTTGCAAAGTTTCAAAGTCAAGCACTTTGATTATTCTTTCTTAATTATTGGATACTAAAAGTGCAATATGGAAGGCTTATAACAATTTTTGATAATTTCAAAAAAGAGTGAATAAGCATTCAATAGATAGATGCTATTGAGCCACTAATCATGACTTGACATGCCTTACGTGAAGCACTTAGCAAGTGTTTAAACGTATTTAAACATCACAACAATCTTATTGCTGGCATTATTATCCTTATTGCTTTGAAATAAAAAAAAAATTGGACTGGGAATGATGGCTCATGTCTGTAACCCCAGCACTTTGGGAGGCTGAAGCAGGAGGTTTGCTTAAACCTAGGAGTTCAAGATTAGTCTGGACAACATGGCAAGGCCTCATATCTATGAAAAAATAAAATAAAATAAAAATAGCTAGGGGTGATGGTGTATGCCTGTAGTCCTAGCTACTTGGGAGGCTGTGGTGGGAGAATCACTTGAGCCCAGAATTTCAAGGCTATGATGAAGATACTTGTACTCGTGCCTGAGTGACAGAGTGAGACCCTGCTTCAAAAAAAAAAAAAAAAAAGTTGAATTATGGCATTTACTTTATTCATTACTCATTTAACAAACTTCATTTTATTCTCTTATATTCTCAATAAATTTAACACCTAGTGGAGAAAATAGGAGTACAAACATATGATTATAATACTGTGTATGAGTATATTAACAAATACAGAGAGGAAGGAGAGGAAGGGCCCCATAGCAGAGGTAGGTGCAGGGTACAGAGCATGGGATCACCAGAAAACTCCCTGGAAGCATGGTGCCTGAGCCAAACCTGATACATTAAAGCATATCTGCACTATTGCAAGTCTAGTACAAAATAACTTTTTCAGGAGAGATTTTCATTATTTTACAATGACAAATTTTAGTTTGTTTTTCTGCATCATGGAGATATAAGTGACAGGACTCTGATTTGTAAAGCGAAAGAATTAGATTCTTAACCCTGGATTTACTACTAACGAGGCCCTAGGGCAAAATCTCTGAAACAGTTAGAGCTACAGTTTCCTCTCCAACGAAGTAAGGTAGGATCATCAATTCTTTCATAACAGCATTTCTTCCAAACTCAACATTCTGAACACTTCAAGTCGCGCCCTTCATTTTCACTTTTACTGTCCTTCTAGTAAGAGTCATTACCTGGAAACCACAGTTCAGAAGCAAGGCATCACAGCTAGGTGTAAAGGGAGCTTAGCTTACAAAGAAAAAGCTTCAACTCATTTTATTTTTACCAATATCAAAAAATCACCCCACGATAGCTTCAGGGTGTTTTCACTCAAGTATAGCCTAGGACAGGTAGTGAAGATGCGGTAAATTACATTAATGGCAGCAGAGAGACAGGGTTTCACTGGATGCCTCAATCAAAGCATTATTAGATTCACAGTTAAAGAGTAGTGAGTTTCATCAGATATTTAATTAATGTCCATTAAAGTTCCTTTTACAGAAATAAAACCAAACAAAGCAACAACAAAAACAATCCCACAAATTTCTATGGCTGTACTTCAGAAACACATCAAATTATTAATGTTGAAATCTGGATTTTCCAAGAAATCAGCTTTCTTGTTGTATCTGAGAATGCATTTATGTTTGTATGCAGTTATGAGGTCAGGTAGAGAGGGAGAAAGAGATTACTGTCTGATGTATTGTTCCCCAAAGTTTAGTATAGATGTTCAGTATGAAGATAAAAAATGAGAAGGTGGAAAGGGGATAACTATTTATTGACCTTACTTATGCACTTAACCTCTCACATTGGATATTTTTGGTTTATAAAACATCTTAGTATTAATAAATACATATATAAATAAAGTGGTGACTTAAATAAAAATATCTCATATTTTATGAACAAATGTGTCAGTGAATATGTACTATAAATTAGTTAACGTTAATGTACGTTAGTCTTAAGATCCATAGAAGACTCCATCTGACCTTTACCACATGATGATTTTCCTCACTGTAGGTTGAAATTGATTATATATATTTTATTGTACTTTATGTTCTGGGGTACATGTGCAGATCATGCACGATTGTTGCATAGGTACATACATGGCAATGTGGTTTGCTGACTCCATCCTCCTGTCACCTATATCTGGCATTTCTTCCCATGTTATCCCTCCCCAACCTCCCTACCCTCCACTGTCCCTCCCCTAGTCCCCTCCAACAGACTCTAGTGTGTGGTGCTCCCCTCCCTGTGTTCATGTGTTCTCATTGTTCAACACCCGCCTATAAGTGAGAACATGCGGTGTTCGATTTTCTATTCTTGTGTCAGTTTGCTGAGAATGATGGTTTCCAGGTTCATCCATGTCCCTACAAAGGACACGAACTCATTGTTTTTGATGGCTGCATTTTATTCCATGGTGTATATGTACAACATTTTCCCTGTCCAGTCTATCATCGATGGGCATTTGGGTTGGTTCCAGGTCTTTGCTATTGTAAACAGTGCTGCAATGAACATTCGTGTGCATGTGTCTTTGTAGTAGAACGATTTATAATCCTTTGGATATATACCCAGTAACGGGATTGCTGGGTCAAATGGAATTTCTATTTCTAGGTCCTTGAGGAATTGCCACACTGTCTTTCACAATGGTTGAAATAATTTACACTCCCACCAACCATGTAAAAGTGTTCCTATTTCTCCACATCCT